AGAAGCGTTAGGTGGGAAGGGAAGGATTGTAGGGGAAAAGCAAAGGAGGAGGTAACAGTGTTCAATAGGAAATGTACTCATTAACCTACTCATGTAACTGTAACCCCTTTGTATGGTATTTTACAATAAAAACATATAAAAATGTGAAAAAAGAAAAGTTAGCAAGGACTACAAAATATTGTGCAAAATCACTGAAATCACATGTTCTCCGAACAATTTCAAATCACACAATGAAGATTCAGTATTTTTTTAAACGTGAAAATAGCATACAGATGGCTTACAATTACATGGGCAAGATAATGGGTATATTTCTTATCAAGCATTGTGGCCGCCTCCTTTGTTTACTCAATAATATAAACTCATCCCTATTTATGAAATTCCTAACACAAAAAAGGAAGATCGAAAAAACTGAATAGAAACTGATGAGTATTATTTATTTATTTATTTATTTGGGGTCCGGTCGTGCGAGGGGCCTGAACGTTGGGCCTGGGCACTATCCCTCAGCTCTTCAGCTCAAGGTTAGCGCTCTACCACTTGAGTCATCATGCCACTTCTGGTTTTTTCTTTTTGCTTATATGGTGCTGAGGAATCAAACCCAGGGCCTCAGGCATGCAAGGCAAGCACTTTATCATTGAGCCACCTTCTCAGCCCTAATGAGTATTTTTATATATCTAATTAACATACTGAAGAAGTTGGAAATTAATTACATTTTCATTTGTTAAACAATATGCCCTCAACCAAAACGATGCACATAATTTTTCCTAAATATTGTTATATTTTCAAAAAATTAATTTATAGAAAACTAGAGTCAGTTATACAGTCATTTCTTTATGAGAAATGTAACTGTGAGAAGAGGTTGGCCATTAGTTTGGGCAGGAAAGTCTATGTGGGCAGGAATGTCAATGAAAGACAAAAAGAGCTCGAAATGGAGCTGTGGCTCAAGTGGTAACACAGACATGACTGAAAAAGGTAAGGCACAGTATAGTTCAAACATGAAAATTTTAATTAATTTAATGAGTTTAATTAATGTAAGAAGAAACTTGCAATGAACACTAGAAGAGATGAGAAATGAGTACAATTGTGTCTATATGACTTGAATATGGGATTCTGTAGAAATAGTATAGAATCTACTAAGTCAACCTATTTGAAAGAATAAGTCATGCTTTCCTTATCAAATTGAGAGTTTTGAAATGTTCATATTTCAGCCAGGCACTGCTGGCTTATGCCTGTAACCCTAACTACTCAGGAGGCTGAGATCTGAGGATTGTGGTTCAAGACTAGCCTGGGCAATAAAGTTTGTGGGACTCTTATCTCCAACTAACCACCAGAAAAGTGGAAATGGTGCTGTGGCTCAATGGTAGATTGCTCATCTTGAGCTGAAGAGCTCAGGGAGAGCACACAGTCCCAGAGTTCAAGCCCCACAACCAACAACAAAATTAAAAATTATTCATCTTTCAACAGAATGTAAGAAGTGCTACATTAAAAGAAATAATCATAAATATTCATTATTTAAAATTGTATGTATTAAATGAGTAAAAATTCATTAATGAACAACAAATTAAAAAGTATATCTAGACATGGAGAGCAAGCTATGATGCATTACAGAATTTGAACTTAGAAGAGTCAAAAGGTCTTCTACATTATAATCTTAAAGTGAAGAATATTTTTGTAGCTTAGCCAAGTCATTCCTAATGCCATATGAGGAAAGCAGCCTGAGAGGGAGGACTGCTGAGAGAGAAGGAGATGGAGAATGGCAAAAAGAAAGAAAGACAGACACATCAAGAAAGGTGTCACCAAAGAGACTCAGCATACTTGCAAAGGTGAATGTGTGAATAGAAATATAGAAGTAGTGACCAAAACAATCTCTAAGGATGATATTTAAAGAGGAAATTTTGTCAAGAGTAAAATACTAATGAAACATATTAGAGGACTCTCTATCATGGTGGTATTCAGAGAGGAAGCTAATATATTAAAAAATTTAGAAAAGTGATTTTGAAAATCATCAGTGAAAAAGACACTAAGAAGAGGGTATGACAGAATAATGTTTAGATTGAATAGGAGGAAGCAAAAATATAGCAGAAAAATTCCACTTTAAATGGTGAGTAATTGTGACTACCACGACTAGAAAACGTACAATAGATCCTTATTATCAAAGTAAAAATTTCATAATACTAAGCATTACAAGAAGAAAAAATTACTGTAAAAAAGTTAGTAATCAAAAAGAGAGTATAATCTTAAGAATGTTTGTTTCTCTTACTAAGTCTTTTATCGCTGAAACCATGCAGAGAATTTTTATTTGGCACTAACAAGATGTTGTAACACTTTGGGGCAAATATGCAGCCTAGGAGTCCTGCACCAGAGGCCAAGATGGAGAAGACCTCTACAGCCACCATGACCTTCCCCGTGGCACTGTGGTACACAGGCAGGAAGGTGAGCCACACACTGCAAAACAC